CTCAATCTCTGTTACTGTTTATAACCCTCTGTGCTCCCAAACCTCTCTACAGCAAATCTCTCTGCACCAATATGTCCTTCTATGGCAAACACTAGAGGCCTAGCACAGAGGGCCTTTAAGGATACAGCTCACCTGACTTAAGAAGAAGAAACAAAGAGTTATTCATACTCCATAAGTGGTGCTTTTCTGTCTCGTTGTGACTCTAAAAGGCAAATACAACTGTACAATACATTGAATGATCACAGCTGGATTTGATTTATTTAATTGTGTGTCATTGTGTTTGTTTCTCAATACTCCTATACTAACTTAATTGGGAATGTCCATCATATGTATAAGCCTAAATACAATTGCAGAAGAGTCTACAATGTGTTATAACATCTACAAGCCATCTCATGGTTGCTTTTAAGGGACCTCTTCAGTTTTTCAGATAAACAATTACCCTCTCTTGATACTTTTGACCACCTGAAAGCTGCTTTTTTTACACTTCACAACATTAATTATGCACTTAGAGAAATATCTAAGCGATCTGAGCGGAATACAAATAGCATCACTGACAGAGTTTAACTGCTTTGTAAACTGCTTTGTAAACTGTAAAAATATCACTTTAACTTTAGTTATAGTGACCTCTAGTGGCATTTAAGTGATTTCTACCATGTCAGCTTAACCTGCAGCCTTCAAATACACAGCAATCCTGTTGAAGAGTCTTTGTGACTTGCTGCAGACAACATGTGTTATTATACTATTATTAAACAGCTACATACATTTGATGTATGTACCTACCAATATAAAATATCGTTTTTCATCTTTATTTTGAACTATCAATAAAGTACTATAATTACGCTTTTCTGATGTATTTCCTTCATGCAGACACAAGGTGGCAGGCTATTCCTGCAGTTTAGGAGGGCGGTTTGCACCTCTGATGAGTATGCATGCTTTTATTTAAGTATGTATCTACATATTCAACGTGTACATTAATATACAAAATAGTAATGATGCTTTTATGTGTGTGTGTGTGTGTGTGTGTGTGTGTGTGTGTGTGTGTGTGTGTGTGTGTGTGACCTTTTATATTTACAGTCTATCTATGGATTTGAATTTATGTAACCTGGACCTGAGTCCCGCTGTGTTTCCTCAAAGAGTGACCGCTCAATGGAGCCTCAATCTGCTGATGTGGGGTAAGAATTTAAAACGGACTAAATTTGGCGGCAAATCTCTTTCATAAATCGCGAGGGCATGAGTAGCATGAAGCTGCCAAGAGAAACTCCTGTTCTCTCCCTTCCCTTTCTCTCCATGCTCTCTCGCGAGTGCCGTTTTAGTGCTCGCGAAAATAATACACGTCCGCGGCTGCTTGACTTGTGCTCGCGTGGATCTCATATGCCCCAATAGTATGAAGCTGCGGCCTCGCAGACTGCAGTTTCTGGCTCGCAGTCTCTGACCCGCAGATTCTGGGCCCTTCTTCTCTTTTTTAATGGCGGATCGCAAACAGCTTTTAGTTGCATACCGCCACCTACTTTACCTTGGCATGATGTGCCTTGGCACAAGGCATCCTGGGCATGAACTCAGTGACGTTATCCACTAAAGACAGATGTTTTTACATTAGCTTCACACTGCTGGCTGTAGGGCAGCGGAAGAGACGCGAGGCACTTTGTAGATAAACTTCACGTCTTTAGGATTTTTCTGAAAATCTTCCCGAGTCCTTCACATAGAGAGGAGTCCACCGGCTGATAGAGGAGACTCCGAAAGTCAGGAAGGTTAATCTGTTGGGCAACACAGAGCGATTTATACCATTACATTGTGACTTTATTTTCATCAGTTTTTCTCCAGCGTGCTAATGTATGGGCGGTGGTGGCAAAGACCAAGTGCTACCCAGTTGTCCCTGAGCAAGGCAGCGTTCCCTACACTGCTCCCCGGGTGCCGTACATATGGCAGCCCACTGCTCCTAACACTAGGATGGATCAAATGCAGAATGTACATTTCCCCTCTGTGGGACGATTATGCATCTGTTCTGTTTCAGGGTCCAGCAGCAAAGACCAGACTCTCCCAGCTGTCTGTCCCTAAGGAGCAACTCCCCGAAGAACGACGTCATAGACTTTAAAGGACGACCTCCGTCTGCTGATCAGAAGTAAGCTGTGACTCACAGTAAGAGTCCGGTTATGATAGAATAGAACTGGTTGATATGAATTCTTGTCCAACATATTTTTCAGCAGTTTTTCTCCAGCATGTTTTACGGCCTGATAAATGGGACAAATAATCAGGAGAGTGAGAGCAGTGTTTCCTCAGCGAGAACTTTATTCTAATCAATTGCATTACCAAAAGTATTGCAAGTAGAAAACATGCAAAGCTTCTTCAGTAGAGTCCAAACACTTTTTCTTTTCACAGCATTTATCTAAGACTTCTTACTTTTCTCTAATATTACCGTCACCATCAGATGGCTTAAACAACATTAACATCGCACACAAGTCACTTAAGTGCATTAAATATAATTGTACAGATAGCAGAACACTCAATATTATGTGTTGATGTCCCAGTTTTAAAATGTCATTACGATCTGTTCACACATTAGCAATACAGAGTGATTATACCATTACATCTTTAAATATAGGGACTTTAAGAGATTTCACATATTTTTCATCAGTTTTCTCCAGTTTGCCAATGTCTGCATCTGTTTCTGTTTCAGGGTCCAGCAGCAGAGACCAGACTCTCCCAGCTGTCTGTCCCTCAAGAGCGACTCCTCGAAGGATGACGTCATAAACTTTAAAGGACGGCCTCCATCTGCTGATCAGAAGTAAGCTGTAACTCACAGTAAGAGTCCGGTTATGATAGAAGCAGACTTGATTGCTGTAACAGTGTTTTACTACAACTCACAGAAGTTACAATTTTTTTTGTGTGAAACCGCTCAGTGAACTACAGGTCTCTGGTCTCGCACAATACGCGTCACCATCACAAAGATGGCTGTCACGTTAGCAAATTTCACCTGTTTCTTTCAGAATGAGGCGAAAAAGTATAAAACGAGGTGAAAATCACTACAAGTCTGGGCATGTTGAGAGCTGTACATACACGAAAGGGAGCGGTTCTGTAAGAGCCAGCATGCGGGACCGGCTTTACAAGGTTTCAGTGAGTAATATGAGTGCAATGTTTAAGGTTAATGTCAGCTAGCTAAAAAGGTACACTAACATGTTTTGTTTTAGCAACTAGTTTTCTCCTTAAAGAGCATCTTGAAGGTTTTTATTTTTTCTACATTTATGCTTAAACTTGCTTGAAAATTACAATTAAAAAAGTGAATGCAGGATTTGATATGTTTTAGGAGACATAAGGGCAGGAATTCAGAGGGAAAGGAGCAATTTTGAGCTCTGCTCTTAAAAACGGCTTTTTTTTAAGGTCATACGTCAAACGCGTCATATTACATCACACAGGGGACACATCTCCGCTCTCTGGCCGCGGGTATAGTGGAGTTGCGTTGAGTTGAGCGGTTGTGTTTTAAGGAGCTGTTATTTTTCGGTAGTTTTACATTGTATTTCACCATTTGTAATCATGGTGCAGTATTGTGTTTGTGCAGGTTGCACAAATACCAGCCTGTCAGGACATCGAGTCCACAGTAAAAAGGACCGGTGTTGCAGTATAAGTTGAGTCATGACAACTGGCGACATTCTATTATTTTCGTCATAGGAATCCGGGGCGTGTACATTGAGGACCCATTGTTGAATTACCAGGAAAGAAACATGCCGATCGCCTCGTTTGTCGTTTACGTTCATCTTTTGCTATATCTGCCTCCATAGGATCACTTTGATGCACATTCAGTACTCGTATGTGAGGTTGTGGGGGAGAGGTCGATATCGTGACGCTTACAGGGAGGTATCGAACATTACAAAGTTGGTGACTGTGTCGATGCCTGTTCAAAATATTGCAAACTTGAATAAATCATTTAAATTATATTATTTGTTTCCGACTTTCATTTGTACATCGTTCTTAATGTGATGTATAGTAGCTTTGATAGCTGTCCATACCTTCAGACAGCCTAAAAGTAAAACACAAGTTGTTTATTCACAAACGCTCATCGACATGACTGGATCACTCATGACAAGTTGTGATCAGCTCCGATTAAATTGTGATATCAATTCTGGAGCTATTCTCCAGGGAGCACGTTTTTTTGATGAAATACCTGTATCCCTCTCATCACAACAAGACTCTACACTGTGCAGGAAAAACAATTAGATACATGAAAATAACCTTGATGCATGGGAATTAAACACACAAACTATCTTCCGTGGCTATGCTGATATGTCACAGTGACAGTCAACCACATAAAAGTAAGTCCAGCGGGGCACACGTTGAATACATATAAAACATTTGTACATCATTCTTAATGTGATGTATAGTAGCTTTGATATCCTAAAAGTAAAACACAAGTTGTTTATTCACAGCCCGAAAGCAGCATCGAGATGACTGGATCATCTGCAGTGTTGGTTAAGTTACTTCCAAAATGTAAGAAAGACAGTACATTACTTATTAATGTTTTTTTAAGTAATAGGCTACGTTACATTACAATATTACTGTCTCTGAAATGTAATGACTAACACTACTTTTATATTAGCCTATTTTTGAGTTACTCTACCAAAATAACCTTAAAAGAATGGCTAAGTATTTCAAATGCTAAAATGTAGTTTAGTGCAGCTCATTATACATCCAGTGAAGGACAATGTGGTATAGCATAACAACTGTGTAGGCCATTAAGGCTACTCACAACTTTTATTACACAACTTAGTTGAATACTCGATTCTGATTCATTGAACATGTGACACGTTGTTAATACAGTAGTACAGACCACTGTTGATGACTACAATGAAGGTTGCTAAGGAGGATCAAGAAAGAGAAAGCAAAAGAGGTTAAAAGACGGAGCGCTGAACGTCAGATAAATCACCAGAAGAAGGCAGAGAGGAAGTAAATACTAACAGGAACACGGAATGGGCTCTGTAGTGTGTTTAGTATGGCCGTGTAATAAGCGGGAAAACCCAGCTGACCACCAAGTTCAGCCCTTATTTTCTGATGTTTGGGAGGGAGGCGAGGTACCCGTCAGAGGTGCCCAAGGAGTATGAAGTAAGATCTGATAATGTCCTCATCCTTTCTAATTATTCATAGTATTTCAAACATCAATGTTTTCTCAACATTCTGACGCTTTTCTGTGGCAGATAACGGAAGAGAAAGTGAGCAACTTGGTGCAAATAGAGGAAGTCTTCGAGGGACTCAAAAAACAGGAGGCAGTTTTCGCGAGGGTGAAAGGTAACATAGCAAAAAGCCAGGATAAGATCCGCAAGAGGAAAGAAGGTGGGCAAGTGGACCATTTTCAAGTGGGGGATTTCGTTTTAAAACGCAACAAAAGGTCGGAACAGAGGAAAGGAGGAAAGCTAGAGGCAGACATGTTGGGACCATTCAGGATCCTAAAAATTGAGGGGAAGTTAGCGGACCTTGCTACAAAAAAAGGAAAAAAGACAATGAGAGTGAACATTGATCATTTGAAACACTATGTCCAGCCAGAGGAGAGGATCCCTGCTAAATTACAAAAAGTGTTGGATCCTTCTCCTCTGGCTGCTCCACTGCCCTCCAAACCCACACCCACACCCACACCCACCTCCACCTCGACACAGAGTGCCAGGCACGAGGAGCATCCTCTGATGTAGAGACTTGTAAGTAAACTCAAAAAAAGTACACCTTAAAGTATGCATTTCATTAATAACTAACATGCCTTTTTTTATAGTAATCCGAGACATATGGGCAGGGAGGAGACAAGAGACTGTGGGCCAAGTATGGCCCATACAAAATATACAGTGAAAATCTGTTGGTCTTGGCCCCGGGAGAGGAGTTGGAGGGAGAGGTAAGCCTACTGTATATGAAAAATGTAAGTAGGCAAACTGATCATTCTGAAAATGGGTTCAAAAGATACTGGTGTATTCATAGATTGTGAATGCCTATCTGGCATGGGTTGGGGCCAAAGCTGGGGTCTTCATTGTGGACTCCTACCTAATGACTTCCCTCTGGCAGGGAACCCACAAGGGAAGCTTAAGAAAGGTGAGTAGAGTACTAGAAATAAGTGTATATATGAACATATGTATGTACTGATGTATGTACAAATATTTTTCAGTTGGACTTGTCAAAACATGAGGTGGCAGCCGGAGCTGTCTGTGACGGGGCACACTGGACCCTCATTGTAAGTAATCTAAAATGTTAATGAGTCAAGACATTTTTATTTATTTAACACTCAACACTTTAATAATTTCTTTGCACTTCCATAGATCATGTATCTGAATGAGAACAGGTCCCCTCAACGGGGCCCTCTCCCAACCTCCCTCTCCCTATTCGATGGACCCTAATACTTTTTACCATTCGATCGTTGTGACCTAGTAAGACTTTCTTACGCAAGTTTTCTATGACCATAAGTATCTAACACTTACGGGATTAGACCGTACCCACCCGGTTTCGACCCCAGAAGTAACACCTGAGATGGATTGACTGGAGGGAGACGTCCCTATTGGGTGTTCCTTCGAATTCTTCGCACTCATCTCGATGAATCTTTATTCACATATATTACGTTGTAGACATACATGACTACATACATTGTTTAATAAAAAGTCAACGCTGAACAGTTTGTGACTCACGGGTCGCGGCTCGCAGACACTGCCCCGTGTGACTGGAGTACGGTTCGATTAGTTTTACTTACCAGTTTCTGTCAAAATAAAAAGTTGTGAGTTGGTGATAATTATTAAATAACGTAAAGGTATCCTAGTACATAGACTTACTCCTTGTCGCAGGGACAAAGAACTTGGTAACCCCGTGCTTCTCGGTTAATTAGTCTACGTTTCTACAGTGTTCCACTATTTGATATTCGAGATTACACAAATGATCTGATATAAGTCCTAAAAACTAAATAATTCTCCTCGTTGTTTTCGGTGTATTTAGTACAAGGACTGAACTGATGACAAAATGAACTTATGTAAATCTAACAGGACACACGTGTACGTCGGAGAAGAACTGAATTTTTCTTTCCTAGACTTAACCCTGAATATATGTTTTGGGTTAGATAGACAAAGGATACATCTAGCGACCAGGCGCTTTGTGTCTGGAAGTCACCCCTCTACCAAGGACGGTGTTGTTAGCTAGTAGGGTTTGTCCTACCTAAGATGACGCAGACGCCACACAACCAAAGACTTCATTGTAAATCATTACACACAGCATATATGATTGGTAGACATTAAATTGTTTTTATACTTCTATGAATACTGTCTGGAAAATCGAACCCGTCTCGTTTATGACGGTTTTTTGTTGTCCAGGTCATGGTCACTGGTCCTTCTCGACCGGGAGTTACTTCCAATTCTACCGTTAACGCGAGACCCAAATTGTTGAGTCATATGTCTATCTGTCGCCCTTTGTCTTAATAACACTAGAATAAACCGCTAAAGTCTATGGATTACGGACATAAAGATTATCTAAAAAAAATGTCTACGGATAGGCTCGACCAGCCCGGGACACCCTTGTAATCGTATCGCGGGATTTCCAACTGGTTACCCATTCTTTCACTAAATAAAGGACTGGTTGTAAACCGACGCTCCTGACGCTATGTTGGACCTACCAATGGAGATGTCGTGACCCACTTGTGAGAGATATTGTCTATAATATTCTCACAAAATGAAAATAAGTGGGTTTGAACGGTCACGAAACGTGATACCGCTACTGTGACCTGGTCAACTTCTTGAAGACTCGTACCTGAGATTGTCTTTTCCTTTTGTCGATTCGTAGATTTTGTAATGTAACGAACGGAATTACTTACATTTGTTGAACTAAGACGAATGAGACCGTACTAGCCTACAATTTTACAAAACGAGTTATAAGTATTGTACAGCCAAAAAGACAAATAAAATTTCTAGAACTCACGGGTGACCCGACGTGATACAACCTGGTGTGCGCATGACACAACGCCCGTCGGGAGACAGTTACGGTCCTAAAGGAAACGATTTCCGACGTGAAGAATCTATGTGTGTGGTATATGTTGTGTGTGTATATGTGTGTGTGTGTGTGTGTGTGTGTCGATGTGTGTGTGTGTGTCAATAATACAGACACCGTTTTAGGACTTACAGGAGAAGGTGTACTCCCATGGTACTATTGTACTCCTAGTTGAATCGGACGACTTGTACTGTCCTACACACTAATGATCTTCTCGTAGTCCTGACAAACTCCGTATACTTTCGGATAACACTAATATGTACTACTTAATGTCGGGAGATACCTCGTATACTAATATATTGTTCGTACGGCAGTAAAGACTGCACGCTCGGCATTAGACTCTCATTTGTAACTTATGACCGAAAAAATAAGGAGGGTAGAACGACTGACACATTGCAGGGACGAGAACGCTAACATAAAAAAACCGCGGTGCGTACACTTCCTGATGACAAGTCCTTGATCAACTACGAGACGATGACACTACTGATGAAGTAAGACTCTCCAGTGTCTATGTACCTAGGACTCTAAGTTCGAGGTTCGGCCACTGGTCCCTCTAACAACGATTGTAAAGGGTTCTTAAAAAATTTACAATAACGACTGTTGTATTGAAGTGACCTGAACGAGACAAGGAAGATATTTAACTTCGGGTTTTTCTACAGTTGACGGCGTGAATCGTGGAAGTTTTCGAGGTACGCGAACGTTGAATCGTGTCAATCCTAACAAATATAGTTACCCGAAGAGTACCACGTTGTGCTTCCGGGTCTGTATTAACGAATTTTGGTTTGTTCCAAACAAAGTGTAATTGATAATTGACGAGACCTTTCAAGGACTATGTTGAAATCGGGAAAAAACAGAGTACTTCAGGGATTCACTGTGTGTGACCTTGTCAGACCACCCAGTACCAGGACAGTAACAAAACGCACAAGGGTATTGTTGTCAAAGGTCTCACGAGGTACACGGTCGGATGTGTGTACGACTGTCTTGATCGATGTTTAAACCTTTACAAAAAACAACGATTTCGATTGTAAGTTCGGTAAAATTCTTATTCTTTACGGAAATGTACTGTACAGTAAACAATTGTAAATTTCGACGAAGAGCCGAGAAAAAGACTAAGACTATATGTATATTGGACAACCGCCATCTTTGTAAAGAACTTACTTTACCCATATACTCTGTTTACGGTATTTTAACGACACTGTGAGCTCAGTGTAGCCATGTGAATTGGGATTTGTAAGTGTCGTATAAATACCGTAAAACACATAGTATAGTTAAAGTAGTTCTTACGAAAGATGTTGTCCGAGATATACATTAGTCTTTAGTCTTTTCTCGGCGTTCGTGTCGGGAATTACAAATTGTTTACTGTAAGTCAATTCGTAAAATAAGAATTTACCGACTTACAATCGAAATCGTTGTTTTTTGTAAGGTTACATCGATCAGACAGTGCTCACAACTCGGACCGTGTGACCTGGTAGAACCTTTACTAACAATACCTTAGTGTTTTGGTTCTGACTTGCTTCCTGGTACTGGTTGGTCTTGACAAGTCACTACACAGTGAATCCCTGAAGTACTCTGTTTTTTTCCGATTTCAACATATTCTTGTAAAGGTCTCGTCAAATTCTCAATTACACTGTGGACACAGATTTCGTTAATACAGACGGAAGGCACAACCCGTGGTACTCTGGGTACTATAAATTTTAGGAATTTGACAGATTCAACTTGGTCGTGAAAAACTCCCGATTTCACGGTTCGCAATGTAAGAAAAACCAGAAGTAAATATCTTCCCTTTCTGTTGTCCCTTATCAATACAAAGTTTAATTGTAAATACCTTTAACAATCTTGTTAGAGGGACCAGTGGCCGAACTCGAACCTTAGAGTCTAGGTACATAGAACTAGGAGAGGTTTAACGCGTTCAATCAGTAAGTGTATGTCTCGTAGTTGATCAAGCCCGCCTCTCGTCACAGAAGTGTTCCACTTAGGGTTCTCTCCTCAATGGTCAGTTTCTACCTCCTTATCTTTCGTCATAAGTTACAAATGAAGGCTCATCGAGGTTGCAGTCGTTTACTCGTTTACGAACATATATAGATAGAGGTATCTCCGGACCTTTAGTAGTACACATTAGTGTATCGATAGTAGAACGGAGTTTTTGCAGGACTTACGAAGAAGATCCATTAGTGTTGTAGTACAGTACAAGAGTCGATGTCAACCCCTATTGGAAACAATCGTACAACGAGAGTAAACCTTCTCCTGTAAGTCCTAAAACGGTTGTTCTTTATTATTTGACACCACACACACACACACACACACCACACACACACAACACACCACACACAGATTTTACACGTCCGGAAATGTTTTCTTTAGACGTAACTGTCTCCCGAGGGGTTGTGTCATGCAACACCCATGGTGTGTATCACGTGGGTCCACGTGAGCTAGAATTTTTATTTGTGCTTTTTGCTGTACAATCCTTATAACTGTGTTTGACTTGTAAAATGGTAGGGAGTAGGTCTCATCGTCATTAGTCAACAAATGGTAAAGTAATTCGGTTCGTAACATAGCAAAATCTAGAATCGACAAAAAGGAAAGACAAATCTCAGGTACGAGTCTTCAAAAAAGTTGACGAGGTCACAGTAGGGTATCGACGTTTCCCGTACGTTCAAACCACTTAATGTTCATTTTACATATTATAGAACAATATCTCTCACAAGTGGGGGTCACGACATCGCCATGTTAGGTCCACATAGGGTCAGAAGGTCGGTTTTCAACCAGTCCTTTATTTATGTTGAAGAATGGGTAACCAGTTGGAATCCGGGGATACGATACAGGGGTGTCCGGGCTGTGTCGAGCCTTATCAAGTAGTGACATTTTTTTTATAATTCTTTATGTCCGTAATTCCATAACTTTAACGGTTGTATTCTTATGTTATAAAGACAAAGGGGACAGAGTCAGGGACATATGGACTCAACAAGTGGTCTCGGTAACGGTAGAAATTGGAGTAACTCGTTGAGGAAGGACCAGGGTGACACCCATGACTGGAAACAAAAACGTCATAAACGAAGACGTTAGAATTTTCCAAGGACGGTATTCATAGAAGTATTAAAACAATTTAATGCTTACCAATATATAATGTGTGTGTAATGATTTTACAATGGAAGTCTTGGTGGGTGGCGTTCTGCATCTTAGGTAGACAAACCCTACTAGCTAACAGCACGTCCGGTAGAGGGGGTTGACTTCCAGACACAAAGGCCTGGTTCCGCTAGATGTATCCTTTGTCTATCTAACCCAAAACATATATTCGGGTTAAGTCTAGGAAAAAATTCAGTTCTTCTCGACGTACAAGTGTGTCCTGTTAGATTACCATAAGTTCATTTTGTCATCATTAGTCCTTGTACTAAATACACCGAAACACAACGAGGGAGAATTATTTTTTTAGGACTTATACAGATCATTTGTGTAATCTAAATTGTCAAAAAACGTCAACTAAAGACCAAGCACACACGGGGTGGTCTACCAGTTCCCTGGACAAGAGTAAGTCTATGTACTAGATACCTTTACGTTTTTTTAATTTTTACAACTCACAACTTATTTATTTTTACAGACCTGGGTAATTGTAAATCACTAATGAACGTTACTCCAGGTCCGACGGGGCAGTCTCTGTCGGGCCGACGGTGGAGTACAAAACTGTTCAGGTTCACTTTTATAAACATGATGTCGTGTCGCTATAAGTATATGGTGTATACAGCAGTTTGAGTGGAAAGAATTACAAAGCGAAGGGACCTTATTCCCGATAATCCACCCTCAGGTGTTACTTCTGGGGTCGAAACCGGGGTTGGGTACGTCTATCCGTAACTGTTAGTTAGACTTGTAGAAACCTGGGTAAAAGTGTCCTTACTAGTCAAACGGATGAATGTAAAAAGTATATGTCATCCCGAATGGAGAGGGAGGTTGGAGGAGAGGGCCCCTGTTTTCTTGCCATTTTGGTACGCAACCAAAACATACCCGGTATGAACCGGGTGTCACAGAGAACAGAGGGGACGGGGATACAGAGCCTAATGATATTTTTTGTTCTGGTTGATCTCTAATTGTGAACTTATGTTTCGAAATGTACGCCGATAAAGTGCGTACGATCGTGACACACTACGACCCTACCCGACATGAGACGTCCCCTCACACCTTCGTGTGCACTCCAATCCCGTCTCCTGGTTCGGTCGCCCTTCAAACCTTAGGTAGAAAAGACCTTATGGAGACCGAAACTGGGTAAAAGGGCTATGACCGTTCACGAAATGGTCGTTTATCCTTTGCTATCTAAGCCAGGTTACTAGGACAATCGGGTTATTCATAGGTCGTTCAATTACGTAAGAAGTGTGTCAAGATACTAGCAAAGTCGATTGTCATTATTTAGTCCTTTGCCTAATTACACCAACACGACGACGAGGGAATTATATATAGTTTTTAGGACTTATACAGATCATTCTGTGTAAATCTCGAGATATAAAATAAGTGGAACAATGTAGAAACGTAGACTAATTAACGAGAAAGGCACCGGGGGGTTACCCAAG